CACAGTCTATCCCAGTCACACAGCTCTCTACTCCATACCTGTTGTTTTAGGGTCCTTGTGGGGTGTCTGGCTCTGACCCTTGGACCTTGGTGACTGTCTCCTCGGTGACAAGGTTTCCGGGACAACTCCCTGGTCCTTCCCCTTGGCCATGGGTTCCAGCAGGGTTGGGCAAACCTGACTCTTCTCGGGGGTGCAGGGTGGAGTGACCTGGGGTTTAGATTGTGGTGCATTGTGGGATGTCGGAGGACTCATCCACTCCTCCTGCTTGCTAGCTTTGGACCCGATTTGGAGTCGTTCAGGAGACCCCAACTTCCTCTTCCGAGTCAAACTCATCATTAACTTTGACCTGGAAGCACATGAGAGCACTTACACTGTCGTGACCTGAATCCTGAACTATCCTGGGACTTCTCTCTGGGACACAATTCGGACAGAATCGTAGTTGGCAAATTAATAAACAGAAACGGTTTGTCCATCAGTTACACTTTGATTGTGACTGGGAAAGTCTTTTCACCTTAAAACAATCCTGGAGCCACTTACAAGCACAAGAATTCCTCCCAGAAGCACACACACACAACTTTATTCTACAGAAAGGTCTGCGTAAGACTGCGTCATCAAAATGAATCTGAGTTTATGCACAACGGACAGTTCAACTGAAAAGGACAGTGAATATTAACCTCATCTGAGCACTGTGGATCTATGCAAATCATTACATTTCCCAAACATGATCCTCAGACTCCCAGTGCAGTGGTCTGACCCACTCAGGGGTTTTCAGTGTTGTCAGTCACAGTCCCACTGCACAGCAGTGTGATCCACTCCAGGTCACACTACCAGCTGCAAGGCTCTTGTACACAAACCACACCAGGACACTGGAGATTTCAAGCTGGCATTCATATCGAGAACAACCTGGATCAACTTCTCCATGTACATTATTTAGCAGCTGATTTTATGAAAAGCAACTTACAACTGCATCCGGACAAGATGCAGCGGGATCTTCTTCATCAACAGAATGAAGAGCCCAGACGTGTGTATCATGCATGAGTCTGACTGACCACAGCGCAAAACCCGGAGTGGAGCACACTGCTATACACTGGGAGTCTGACAATACTGTGACGCCTGCAGTGGAGCAGGCTACAACAGATAAGTAAGGTGTCCATAGCTTCATACACCAGAGCATTTGATATATTTGCAATACTAAATGAAAACACAAAACTGCAATCCGAACAGCAGAAGGGCCGGTACCGTTCGCTGCAGAGTTAATGGCTTACATTTGCTTTGGTGCTGTTTTAAGTAGTGTTCACTGACCGTTATCAATTTAACAATAACAACCACGATTATAATTCCTCCATTCACCAGCTCACTGTGCGCCACTCTTTCCTATCAGTACCCGTCAGGCTCTCCGGACTGCCGCCTCTCATCGCGCTCCAAGTTCGACTTCGGGTCTCGTTCGCGGCCTGGTTCCACCCGAAAGTCTGCCCCGCCCCTCCTCGGTTCGGATTGTATCCTCTCTTGGCGCACTGAAATTCTGCGACCCTCCGTGCACGCTTCCCTCCATCAAAACACAAGCATAAACCGATTCAAATAGTCAACTTCCGGGTGCTGCACCGAAAGCCTTCCCCCTCCCCACCCTCCCCGCACCTCCACCACTTCCGCTTCTCGATAAACAAAAGACACGGAGTAAACTGTGTTCCGAAGCTTTCTACGACTAGGCTCATTACTGGTCTAGCTTTCGAAGACTCCTCAGAATATTTTCAGCGATTGTTCGATGACAGTGTTAAATGTGTACGTGTTGGGAGGCATGTTCGTTTTATTATGTTTACAAACAAAAAACAGATATGGACGTTTACAATGAAACTTAAGCAAATGATTTACATTCAGAAGACTGAACCCCCCGAGAATTTATCATTTGCTTCTGCCTCCGTATTCCGTATTGAACTGACCCATGCAAGCTGAGTATACCTACATACATAAACTGGAAACAGGAAATATTGCAAAAGGTTTGCAAATCAAGAAATTGAGTACAATGGACCATATGGAGCCCTGCTCCTTTGATGGCAACAATACAGCCTTGAGATAAACACCTCCACAGGTCTCGGAGGCTTAGCAGGTTGGGTCTTATCAGGACTGGGCTGGAAGACCACTGAGGAAAATGAGGTTAATTAGGTAAGTGGTGTGTATGGACCAGTAGGGTGAGCTGTTCCGTCTGATATTCAGTTCTCGATATAATAGGGTGACCATATCTTGGTTTTTATGAAAGAGAACAGGGGGATAATCGACACTCGACACATGCCTCCAGAGTAACGAATCCTTATTACTTTTTCTAATAAAAAAATCAGTTTAAACTCTCTAGTTTTTATTAATAAACTTCTTAGTAAACTTTTAAACAGTTGCAGGGTTGTTATTTCTCTTCCATAACAGCAAACAAGGAAAAAACAAAAATATAGTCCTCTTTTAAATTTAACGTTTTTTTTTCCTCCTTTTAACACAACGGAAGTCTTAAAATCTGAGGAAAAAATGAAGACATCACAACTTAGGAGTCCTCAAAAATTATCGATTTTAACTAAACATTTTGAAATATAATGAAACAAGTGAAACGTTGTTGTTTCTCATGGCCATAAAAACAACCCCCCCCCCTCACACACACACACAAAACCCTTTTCACGCTACACTGCGTGTAAATTCAAAACATTTACCGGTAATGCGTGGAACAAGCAAAAATCTGTACTGTAGGCCTACAAAGTACTGGACAATTTTTTGAATTTTATCAATCCCAGTCGGACCAATATTTTAGGTCTCAAAAAGAGGACATGTCCAGGAAAAAGAAGACATCTGGTCATCCTACAATATAATGTCCCATAGAGTGTCCACTGAAACTGTGTAGGAGGTTCCAGCCTTTGGATGAGAGAACTTTGATCCTGGCTGTTTGGAGTTAAAGAGTGATGCCAGCACACTATTAGTGACAGTAGGTTACTTGGTGCATCCTTAGTAATAAAGTAATAAAATACATTTACCTGCTTAAATGTGGTGTCCTGACTACTGGTCACTACAGACCCCAGGACACTGTCAGTA